CCCCCCCCAGAATTGGGCGAGGGCGGTGCCCGGTTTCTCGCGCAAACTGGCACGGGGACACGAAGCAAAGCCGCGGCCAGAACCCTTTTCCGCCGCACTGGCACACGGAGCAAAACCGCCCCCCCCCCCCAGAATTGGGCGGGGGCGGTGCCCGGTTTCTCGCGCAAACTGGCACGGGGACACGGAGCAAAGCCGCGGCCAGAACCCTTTTCCGCCGGGCCGCACTGGCACACGGAGGGAGCAAAACCGCTCCCCCCCAGAATTGGGCGAGGGCGTTGCCCGGTTTCTCGCGCAAACTGGAACGGGGACACGGAGCAAAGCCGCGGGCAGAACCAATTTCCGCCGCACTGGCACACGGAGCGAAGCCGCTCCTTTCCAGAATTGGGCGAGGGCGGTGCCCGGTTTCTCGCGCAAATTGGCACGGGGACACGGAGCAAAGCCGCGGCCAGAACCCTTTTCCGCCGCACTGGCACACGGAACAAAACCGCGCCCCCCCCAGAATTGGGCGAGGGCGGTGCCCGGCCGGGTTTTTACGCAAACTTGCAAGGGGACACGGAGCAAAGCCGCGGCCAGAAACCTTTTCCGCCGCACTGGCACACGGAGCAAAACCGCTCCCCCCCAGAATTGGGCGACGGCGGTGCCCGGTTTGTCGCGCAAACTGGCACGGGGACACGGAGCAAAGCCGCGGCCAGAACCGCCTCCGCCGCACTGGCACACGGAGCAAAACCGCGCCCCCCCCAGAATTGGGCGAGGGCGGTGCCCGGTTTCTCGCGCAAACTGGCACGGGGACACGGGGCAAAGCCGCGGCCAGAGCCCTTTCCGCCGCACTGGCACACGGACGGAGCAAAACCGCCCCCCCCCAGAATTAGGCGACGGCGGTGCCCGGTTTCTCGCGCAAACTGGCAAGGGGACACGGAGCAAAGCCGCGACCAGAACCCTCTTCCGCCGCACTGGCACACGGAGCAAAGCCGCTCCCTCCCCCCCAGAATTGGGCGAGGGCGGTGCCCGGTTTCTCCCGCAAACTGGCACGGGGACACGGAGCAAAGCCGCGGCCAGAACCGCTCCCGCCGCACTGGCACACGGAGCAAAACCGCTCCCCCCCCCCAGAATTGGGCGACCGAGGGCGCTGCCTGGTTTCTCCCGCACACTGGCATGGGGGTGCACGGCGCAAAAGTGCGGCCCGAAGCTTCGCAGAATCAGCCGGGCGAAGGCGGTGCCTGCCCGCTTTCTCGCGCAGACTGGCTCGGGGACATGGGGCAAGGCCGCGGCCTGCGCTTAGTTTCCCAGACTTGGGCGCAGGCTGTGCCCGGTTGGGTTTCTCGCGCCAACTGGCGGGGGCACACGGAGCAAAACCATGGCCAGAGGCTCCCCAGAGTATGGCGAAGGCGGTGCATGGCTTCTCGCGCGAACTGGCACGGGGACACGGACGAAAACCGTGGCCCGAAGCTTCGCAGAGAAAGAGTCGGGCGGCCGACGGCGTTGCCTGCCCGGTTTCCCGCGGAGGCTGGCAGGGGGACACGGACGAGCGGGCTGCCAACGTCTGCCGCCGGCTAGCTTCCAAAAGTCCGCCAGCGCTTTCAGAAATCCGGGACCGGCCTCGCGACGTTGGTCGGCGGCTTGCGGGATTCCGGCCGGCGCAGACATCCAAAAGCGCGGCCGCATTGGCCAAAGAAAAGCCGGGCGGCGACTTCCGCAAGGCTGGGGGCCGCTTCCTTCCGCAGGTATGCCGCCGGCTTTTAGAAGTTAGGCCGCCCGCCCAGCGCTTCTCTCCTGAAGTAGGGCCGCCAGGCAGCGGCGCCCAATAGCCCGGCGCCGACTTCCAAAGAAACGCCTGCCATCAGCTTGCAGGCCGGTGCCGGAGTCCTGCAAGTGGAAGCGAACGCGCCACCCCTCGGGCGCCCATCGGGGCGCCCTATGTGGTAGCCCGCTGGGGATGGCGCGGCACTGGCCATTCCTCTACTTCGCGACGCGCGTCCCCGTTGCGGTTGCGTTCGAATGTCGCGAGGAGCAAGCCCGCCCGGCCTCGGAAACTGCTCCGACGGACCGCCCAATGCCCTCCAAAGATGCAAGGTCTCTGCACGGGGGCCCCAGCCCCCGTGCTCGGACCTTGTTTGTGATGCTGAATTCACTTGGGGGACATAGATCTGTCATGCATGACTGCGATTTTAATAGTACTGCGAGTACGATCCTTTTTCCATTCGATACCTGTTCGTTCTTCACAATGGCTGCGTTTTGTTCCTCGATGGTCGCCGACGGGGGCGCGGGGGTGAGCGCCGCATCGAAATCCTTGTGGCCGGGGAGGTGAAAGGCCGAGCCGGAAAAAACGATGTTTACGGCGTCCTTCGGATCGGTCTCGACGTGTAGCGGTCGGCAGTGCGCGGACGCAACGACAGTGCTACTGGACGAGGGCCCGTCGGCTGGAAACAAGTCGGGCGACATGTAGAAGGTGTCACTAGTATCGGTCGTGGAGGGCGCATCCGCGTCCCCGGCGAGGGCTTCGTACCCGTTGTCACAACACTCGAAAGAGGAATTCTCAATTTTCGCGTTCAGGTCATACAGGGCCTGCATATTCTCTGAGACGGTTGTGGTAACGGTCTCGGACGACGTTTCGTCGGATTTTTTTATTTTCCTGCGAAGTTGCAACAGTGTGGACTTTTGCTTTTCAGAGGCATGATTCTGCTTCAACATGTTGGCCTCGACGTTCTTCGGCATGGCGACAGCCTTGTTATCCTCGGAGGTCCCCGCTCTTGATGCCGTTTTTCGTTTCTCATGCTGCAAAGCAGGTCCCACACTGAACGCGGCCGCGAACAAAGAAGATGCTGTTCTCCCTACCCCTGTCTCCTCGAGGGCGGCCGCAAACAACAGCGCTGCGGCTGACGCTTTTGGTACGGTAGAGCTTTTGCTTTTGGTTCTCATCATGAAAGATTCAATCAAATAAATGTCAGCGGCGCAGCGAAGTGAAGACTCAAAAATCTGCGTTGGCTCAAATAATGCTACAGGTGTTGTAGCAGGAAGGACTGCAACTCAAGTGCACGCGTACGCGTAGTATGATCAACAAAAAGTAGAATACGGGTGGTCCTTGGGGTTTGCACTGATGATGGTTACAGACATGTCCGGACTTACTATAGTTTGGTCTTGAAGATGCGCACAGCGACGACGTGGATTCCTTTTGTTTGGTTGTGAAGACAGAGTGTGTGACTTCTACTAGTGGGACGACATCGTGTACGACGGGTACGACAGACGGACGAGAACGATTGACTCATACCAAGAAACTGAAGAACGAACAGATGCAAAAGACCGAAGCTAACGTCGAAGCATTTGTATATGGAGTTTTTCCTTCAGCGTGACGAGCAATGTTGAGACGAGGTGAACAACCGTAATACCTGGCCCTCTCCTTATGTTGACGCAGGCGAAGGAAGGAACAGGAAGCGGCGACCGAGAAGTTGTTGTCTTAGTCCTCAAGCTCAAGTACTACTTGGTTGTCATACTCTACAAACAAACCAGCAAAATCGGTCTCGGGACAAGATCAAAAGAAAGCTCGGAAACTGGTGGATTGTGATTTCGTGTCGGAGTGAAAGTGGCAGTGGTACAGCAAAGAAATTATTTGGAAGTGGTGCTGGCGCTAAGTACTTGATCGCGCTGGGCCATCGAGCCTTCACCATGTTGACCACGCTTATCTCGTCCACCTCTAGCCACGTCGATTTATCTCTTCAAGACGCGTGATCCGACAACAGAAAGAACCGACCAAAAGGTTTGAGTATTTGTATTGACTGTTACTAGCCTCACGACTCTATATCAACTTTTAATAGATACAGCTAGTACTGCTCGAGTGTCATTCATTGTTTTGATTTTTTCTTGGAAACTAGAGAGATGCATGGAAGTAGTGTATCAAAGCACTCAATCGGCTAGCGAGTGCCTTCACGACGTTCGGAAGGAGTACTTCTAGGGCCTCCCTCCTGCTGGCTGCTGCTGTCCTGTATTGTTCCTGCGGAGGTCTTGTTGATGACGCCAGATTAAAGTTTTTCGTTACTTACTCAAAGTTCCGCTTCTCATTTTCCCTTTCTAGCAGGTTCTGGATTCTCACTTACAAGCTCGGATTGTGCAGCTGCAATAGACTCCCTACTGGTCGTCCTACTGCTGACCGGAATCTTCCCAGCAAGATCGTTCTCGTTGCCGCTGTATTTGTTCCTCCCTGCCGCCGTGGTGATATTTGGGTTCTTACCAGGGAAGTCTTTCGTGGAAGTTGAACCGCGACTCGGAGCCGGGCTCAGGATTGCAGAGGCTTGATGATCTTCATCTGTTCCAGCAGTTGCACCAGGTCCTGCTCCCAGTGGCAGACGTTGAACAACTTGGACTTGGTCTATTTCTGAGGTAGAACTCGGAGAAAGGGACCGCGCAATTCTCGCGGGCGTTGCGATGCTGAACTCCTCCCGCGGCGGACCGCCGTCGTGCTGCGACGTAGACCGGGGTGTCGGAGAGGTGAATTGGTGCGTCGAAAAGTGGTTCGAGGACGATGTATGTCCCAAATTCAGCCGGGGGAGTTGTAGGTGATTTAATTTACCTGACGTTGTCGTTGTTGAACTGCTTGTCGCCGCATGATTTTGATCTGTGGACGTCGAGTTGCAGCTTCTGGCTGCAGCACCTGGAGTACCAGCAATCGACCTCCTGACAGGAACAACGACATTTGGATTTGCACCACCACTGCTCCCGACCAGGAGATCTTTTGCGACTGAATCAGCAGTATCACATGCAAATATATCTGGGTCTGGAAGACTGGAAGCGGAAGGTTTGTCATTGTCATGCTGGGCCAGCATGACTCTCATTTCTGTCATGCACGTTACCCCAAAGTAGCAAACGCTACTTTTTCAGAAGAAGAAACGCAATTTGCCGTGCAGAAGAAGCAACACGTAGAAGCAGCTCAAAAAGTTGTCATGCTTGGCCGTCAATCGAGATGTCCGCATGATTGTCCACCCTGCATCACAAGTTTCCAGACGAGACCCAGACATCTTCGCAATGCATAAGCAGCAGCACGATGGTCCGCAGCGTGGTCCATGTCCAGTCCGTAAAATACGTCGAGTGCGTCAAAACGCGAATTGTTAATACCGTCAGCATGGAGTACACCACTGTTGATGTTGTCATGATCGTGGTTCGCATGATCAATGTTCTTGTCGAGAGTAACTGCATGATCCTCTTGCTCACTGTTGTAATTATACTGCAAAATAGCCGGGGAATCGTAGATTTCGACGTCGGATGCATCCCACGGGGCCGGGGCGGGGGCGGGCTGGTGCTGGTTATGACCGAATTCACCGACAACATGATCGCCATGTTGATGTACGCGACCTTCATGCTGGTGCATCTTGCCGGTACTCCTACTCGACGAGGGTGGGAAGTAGAAGACCCCTGCGCGGACGGGGTCGTGCGTCCTCGGAGTGGTCATGAAGTTCCGGTCCTCGCGGGACGTGGTTGTAGCTCCTCCGAATCGCGATGAATAATAGCCGTCATGCTGCTCCTCATACGGATGCGGGTCTCTCATCGGGTGAACCAGGTTACTGCGCAATAAATGCTCTCCATCTCGTCCATCTCGTGGCGTCGGCCCAGCAGAAGACAGGATTGCTCCACGACGAGCGGATCGAACCCCGCGGGCACTCGGCGCTGCAAAGCGGAACGCAGCGGCATCAACAGGATTCTGGTGGTTTTTAGAATCGACATTCCCATTTTCATCGCGTTGCGCTCGTCGCTCTGCTTCTCTTAGCGCTAAATCATGTTGATGTTGTTCCTGTTCTTGATATGCTGGTCGTGAGTGTGCAGAAATTTGCGGTGCATCTGCACCATCTTGTTCTTCCCCGCAACATTCCAGATCCACCAGCCGTAACGACAATTCCCGCAAACGCGCCACTTCCTGCTCCTTTTCCGAAGACAGCCGCTCGAGGTTTTTCCTCACTACCTCCCGCTCCAATGCCAAAACCGTCCGACACTGCTGCTTGGAGCGCTGCAACTGTCCGGTTTCCCGGGCAAGGATGGACAAGAGTCGGCGGCCGACACTTCGTAGCGAAGGTGCTGCGGAGGTCGGGGAGGTCGTGGTGGTAGAGGCAGCATGACGATCATCTACTGCACCTCCAGTAGTACAACCATCAACCGGCCGGACGAAATCGGCGAAAGAAGATGATGAATCGTAGAACATCATAGCTCGTCCTGGCGGAGGTGACCTAGGATTGTCATTGTGAATGTGATTCAGATTCTGCTGGTGCTGTTGGTCTCCTTCAGGAGCTTGCTGTCGTATCGTGTTGCTGGCTTGATGATGAGCTGGTGCTGGTGCACCACTCGGAGTGACACTTTCAAATTCCTTTTGCTCACCTTCTCCGTAGCTGCTGTCCTCCTGAAACAGCAGGTCGTAAAGTTGCAGCCACAGTTTTCCGTCCGCAGCCCGGCCCGCGTGGTACATCCAAGTGAGGGCGAAAACAATCGCCCGCGCTTGCAAGTTCCACGTCAGAAACGAAGTAGACCCGGCAAGGCCTGCTGCTGCACCGTGCTGCAAGGCTAGGTCGGTGACAGAAGAAGAGCCACCAAATCCACCCCCGAGGAAGAAGGGGAAGAAAGCGGAGAGTAAGAAACCCTTCCCCGCAATCGCCACGCCGAGGCACTCGTGCAGGAACGCAGCCTTTTCTACCGTGCGAAGAATATTGTAGGCGGACGTGGAGAGGAAGGCGTCCAAACGGAACAATTGCGCAAGGAGAATGGCTTCGTGTTGCGGATCCTGTTTTTCAACATGATCTCCGTCACGACGTCCGAATGCAGCAAATCGTTGCGTCAACTTTTCTTGCTCTTCGTTGCTTTGCAGCAAGCGGAGACACCGTGTCCGGAGAAAGATCTTGTAGCTGGCGAGTAGACAATCCGACGCGCTCCAGAGAGACACGAACCACGGGTCTCCAGCACCAGTGCTGCCCCCTGTCGCCGAGCTGAGAACGACATTGGCGCCGAAGCTGAAGAACGTGCCGAGTCCGCAAGACAGGTCGCGGTACAGATCCATCTTCGTGAAAAACTGGAGTTGGCGCATCTGCAACGGTGCCAACATCGCGGCGGCAAGCACGTCGTCTTTCTGTTCAAGGATTGCGTCACCGAATTGAGATTTTTGGGTTTGTGTGGCCGCCGGATGATGTCGCTCTATAACTTTTGTGCCTTTTCTTCCTCTATTTACGTTCTTCCCTCTACTAGAGCGGCCCCCGGTCAAGCCCGCGGAAGGTGCTGCACCCCCTCCGCCAGCGAGATAGGTCAGCAGCTGACTTAGGTACTGAGAGGAGGCGGGACTTGACGTCGCTGAGTCATCAACACCTCCTGCGACAGTTGTAGGCCTTGTCCTTGATGATCTTGTTCCGGCATCAAGCATTTCTTGCATTGCGTCTTCTTCATCTGCAGCAGGAGCTTGGGTCCTGCTCAGGGTCTTGCCTTGTTTCTTGCCCGTCGTGCCAGCGGTCGCGAAGCCTTGTAGTTGTCCAGCATCTGCACCATCTCCATTAGGAAAACCATCATCGCCCTCTTCCAAATCGGAAACGCCTCCAGTTCCACTGAGCAGGTCCACTCCCCCTGCAGATCCATGTAGTTTGCCTGTGCCTGTAGCCTGGTTTGTTTGATGTGTTTCATCTTCTGCGCCGTGTGACCCATTCGTCTCGCGGCCTTGTTGACGCCGTTGTACCACAGATGGTAAGAAGAACTCGAAGCCGGTCACCTGCAGCGCCGCACTGGTAGCCAAGCCCCCGATCAGGCCAGAAATGGCGGCGGCACCGACCGTCCAATCACCTCCAGTGGCTGTCGTTGCAGCTTTGGTGCTCCTCGTTGGTAGTGCAGCAGAAGGGTCGTCGTGTGCTCCTTCTTCGACAGGAGTATGATTTGTGATGGTGTTAGTCGTCGTAGGAGATGTTGGTGTTGCGCTTGCGCCGGCTACAGTGTTCTTGCCACTAGAAGTACCGACGTCCCCCGTGTTCTTTTCGTCCCCCAGGAAGGATGCGACGTGTCGAGTTTGCTCTCTACAATGTCCCCGCGGAACTGTGAAAGTAATATCAGCAACGTCTCCCGTTCCGGCCGACACTAGTCCTCCGCCTCGCAGAGGACCTATTTGTCTCGAATGAAGTTCAGAACTTGTTTTCCAAGAATCGAATGGCTGTCGTGAGCTACAACCTGCGGAGGCGCCTCCATTACAACTGTTGAAGAAGGAAATTCCCTGCTGGCAGAAATGTGCAGCGGTCGGAGCTGCGCCGGCGTGTGGCATGACTTCGAAGGAAAACGAGGCACACGAAGTCAATCTGATGTAATTACACAATTGTTAGTCCTCGTTACTAGTTTAATACTGTGTAGGCACAGAAGATGATTGCACTAGAATCACAATCAAGAAAGACAAAGAATAACATAAGAACAACTACAAACACGACGAGAGGGCGAGCACGGGGCGAAAGATCTCTCGCGCTCGAAGAAGTATTGACGAAATCTTGATGTTGATGTTCACTCTAGCACAAGCTGAGCCTACAAGGACAAAGACAGAGGCTTTACTTCACTGCTCTCACGAGAACAAGATCTCTCGTCAAGAGCCACGGTCTCTTGTACAGTAGCTGACTGGCTCTCGTTTGGGTTATTTGCCTCGTCTGGGTGTTCGTTGGTGACCGACGTATTCACTCAAATGTTTTTGTTCGCCTTGAAGACTTAGTAGTTCGCGCTGTGAAGAAGTTGCGATTTTTCCCTGCTCTAGGCACCATGCTCTTGGTCCCGTAGAGCAGGTGAGAAGTTTGGTTTGATTAATGTACGAGCGTGCGTGTTTCATGATCATGTGAAGATGATCACTGATTTTATCAAGAGAGCTGAGGTCGTTGATGATGATGTCGCTTGTTTTACTACAGCCACAGTTCTTGCTGCGTGCGGGTCGTTTAGTGGTAAATAGTGCTGGCCCGGCGGCGCGAAGGCGAAACCAGCACAGCAGAATGGATGCCAAGAAGAAGCACAGCCAGAGCCACAGACCACAAGGGAAATAAAAAGCACTATCTCTCCCCCATCTTCCGCATTTCCTTGAGCTTTTCGTCGCGCATGCGTTGTTGGTCCTGCTGTTGCTTTTCGAACAGTTCCCGCCTCTCCCGCACCTTGGGGTCCACCCACGCCGAGGTCCAATCTGTCGTGTCCGCTTCCTTGAGGGACTTGTGCTTGACCTGCCCCTTGAACCCGAAATTCCCGCGCCGGACCTGCATGGATGCTGGCAGGAGTTGCTTGTCGAACTTCTCGGAGTCCAAGGCCTGGTTGACGTCTCTGCGGTAGAGCATCTCCGACCCGTCCTATGACAGCGCACAACTCCCCCTCCCCCTCATTTGTATGGCATGGCCGGCAATACAAGCATCAGCGAGAAGTTCAACTTTGCATGACAAATTTACACTAGAGCGTATGGCTATTTGGGCTACCAGAACTTGTCATGCAAGCAGTGCTATCATCATCATGTAGTGGACACCCGCACCCAGCGCCACAGGTCAAGGATCCCCTCCCCGGGGGGTGGGCGAGGAAGCACTTTCGGCGACCTCATCGTACAAAAGTACGAAGCGGAAAAACTTCCCCAAGCCCATTTTTCAAAAATTTGCAGTGCTAAGAGGCACAGTCTGGATTTGGGGTTTTGCATGACAAATGAGGGGGAGGGGGGGTTGGGCACTCTCATACGTCCATCTTCTTGTCCATAAAGTACCCGCCCTGATGGTGGTACTTCTGCATGAACCCGAACTGCGATTTTTCCGCCTTGCTGGCCATCAGCGGGTTCTCCTTGTCCATGCGCTCGTCGTCCTCCTGGCGCTCCAGGTCCGTCATCTGCCTTCGCTTTTCCAACCTTTCGAACTCCTCGATCCGCTGCGTGCGCAGCTTCTGCAAAGACAGAACGCGCTCCAACTCCCGAATCTTCCAGAGTTCCATGGACTCCGCGGTTTCATCCTCGTCCGAATCTAAGCTGTATTCACTCTCTATCACAGCAAAAAGTGTTAACGCTAACGGAATTTGCGATGCAGCAATGCATCACAAAACATGCCAAAATTTGTATATGCATAGCATGCATATTGCACGACATTTGTGATGCATAACTGCAATCGTCAACGTTAACACTTTTTCTTGTGATACTCTCGCTGTGGATCACCCTGTCCTCGTTGATCGCATCGATGTCCTCCTGGGCGACGCGCTCCGCCACCATGCGCTTCGCGTCCTCCTTCTTCTGCTTCTTCAGGATCCGGTTCTCCTGCTCGAGCATCTGCTCCTCGGCCACTTTCGCGGCCTTCTCCCGCTCGGTCGCGCGCATACCTGGTTAGGGTGGATAGACTTGCTTATACTAAGTTCGTTCTACAAGAAAACAAAAGTTGCACGAGATGATACGTACGTAGCAGGACTGCTACATCAACCCAGGTGCGTTGTAGCTGTTGTAGCTGGTGCACTTACAGGAAGTAAGGACTACAAATAAAATCATTCGCATTATGTACCTTTTGGCACGAAGACCGGCTTCGCCAGTTTGGCCCCGGGGCCGTCACTGTCACTTGAGGAACTTGTGTCACTATCGCTGTCGTCGAGCACTTTGGAAACCGCCGCCCCGCCGACCGGCTCAAGTTGCAAGAGCCCAGCACCTGTTGATGTACCGCCAATTCCACCGACTTTGCTGCTGCTCCGGCTTTCCTTCTCCTTTTCTCTGTCCTCCTTTTCCCTCTCCACCAGCTCTGCCTGTTTTCGGGCGCGCTCCAACGCGATGCGGCGTTTCTGCGCAGCGTCCTCGGCGACTTCGGAGTCCTCGGAATCCGACGCGGAGTCGTCGTCATCGTCGTCAACATCTCCCCGGCCAGGCCGTGGGAGAAGCGGCTGGGCGAGCGGCGGCTGGTCGGGCCTGAAGAGCGTTTCTCTATTTTTCAGAAGCTTTTTTCAGAAAAAGTAAGCGGTCGAACTCGAAGCGGAATTGTTCTTCTGCAACATTCATATGCAAGTGGTCACGAAGAGATAATTGAGAGGGAAAGTTGCACTTTTTCAGCAACACAAAATTCGTTGCATCACGGCCTTCTTGTTGAACAAAATCAGTATACCGGTCCGCTTCGTCCCCCGTTCCACCTCCGTCGTCGGAGTCGTCGTCCAATTCCACTGCGGCCTGCAGCTTTTGCCTCTTTGCTATTCGGTCGTGCACGGTTTCGTTGATCGTCCGACTCGCCACTTCTGTCACCCTTGTCTGCGCCACCCCCCCGTAGACCTTCTGTCGCGCGTGCGCGGGGGGCTTCGACGGTGCGGAAGTAGACGATCCATGGTGTCGCTCCGCGCGCAAGTGGTCCGCGGCCGCCCGGAGCCCGCGGGACTGCTGCTGGGCTTGGAGCAAGGCGTTTTGCCTTTTTATCCGCTCCTCCTGCTCCTGCTGCCGCTCCTGCTCCTCTAGCTCCTTTTTCAAAAACGCTGGCTCCGCCCCGGCGCGGTGGCGAAAGGTTCTGTTTTGCTGCTTCTCGCGGTTCTTGGGCACAAACTGGGCCGTGGCCGGGTTCTCGCCCTTGTACAGGATGGAGTGCTGATACTCGAAGGAAGCCATCTTTTTTTTCTAGCTCAGGGCTTTATTAGCAAAATGTGCAAAATAATGGCACAATCCAACTGCAGCGAGATGACACGGCAGCACTGCATCAAGTTGGGGTCGTCGCGTACTATGGAATTATTAGGAGCGAGCCTGTACCTGCTACGCACTAAAAGTAAAGCCACAACTTCTACCTTTATTCATCCATCACCTCCATCATCATGTTCAATCTCGTTTCTAATGTCATCTAGATGCTAGAAGGATATATGAAAACAAGCGTAAAATAGATAGCCCTGACGGAGGAACAGCCGTTTTTCTGTTCGTGGTGAAACTAAATGGCTAAGTACCTCCTTGCGATAAAAACGAACTTCAAATATTTCAATGGGGTCCTGCGCATTTTGAGGTTGCCGACGAAAACGAATCCACATCGATCAACGTGCTTTGCGGTAGTCTCAAAAAAATTTGGCTATCGCCCCATTCATATTTGTAAAGGAAGTCTCCTGGCGTTATTTCCACTTATTTGCGATGAAATCCTTGATCCAGCAGGTGTTGCGGATCATAGTTCATTCTGGACAATCAAGCGGCTCGAAAGTCGAATTTCGATCGCCTCGCCAACGAATTACACCAATGTTGACAAAGTACTACTACTAGCACCAAGCAACCTTGATGGTGCCAGAAGGAAATTGATATTTGTGATCATCCTCGACGAATGCAAGACGCTCGTCGATTCTGGATCTTTGTCGGGAGGACTCGGAACGAGCATCGTCGACATATCGTTTCGACGGTGCCCTTGAACAATATGTGGATCTTCTCGATCACGACTGGAAAGCAGCTCCACAACGCCACTTACGTGTGAGTGCGGGCGTTGAACTCGAAGTTGTATTTGTCAATATTCATCCATCACGTCTTGCAAAAGTTGCAAAAAAGTTACGAGCAGTTGCTGCGTTAGGCAAAAAGCGTCCAAGAACCAAAGGCGCGACATCAAACGCGGGTCATCATTTTGTTTTACTCATAATCAATCCTCGTGCAGCTTGGGGAGCCGGAGCGCAACCAAATTTGAAGAATTATTATGAGTATACATACAAAATGAAAACGTCCAAGGAGTATAGTAAACTGCATTGCCTATACTTCATCTCCCAACACGCGGGTGGTAGAAAAAAAAGCTCGGCACAGGTACACATGACGCGGCGACAGGCGTGATTTTTGAATCATGACGATCTTCGTTATGTGTCGTGGTAGCCTTCGTCGAGAAGTGGTGGAAATTGTTGACAGCAGCCCCTATTTCTGAACCCGGTGCTGAAGGTGGATGAAGAAGGATGTGGAGGTCCTGCGAACGGTTATCACGAACGTACTTCTCCCTCGTAATATTGCGCCGCTTCAGACTTTGAAAGAGCTGCCCAAGCCCTGTCCGGGCTCCAGGGCAATGGTGGCCGTAAGCAAGTGGCCCAGGGCCCCAGGCACTGGTGACGAGATCAGCCCCCGAAGGCGTCGTAACGATCGACACCGGAGAGGGACCTGTTTGGGTGAGGGGAAATGGATCATAGCATGCTGTCTAGAGATGACGTTTACGGTTTTTTAGGGTAGAGGAGAAATCCGAGGAAAAAAGCATCAATTTGGTACCATTTCGAGGCCAAAAATTGCAAATCCCAGAAAAACCGCAAACACCTTACCTAGACAGCACGCTATGATCCATTTCCCTCCAGTCAAACTGGGGCAAGCACGCGAGCACACTTTTTGGACAGGGAAATCGAGCATAGCGTGCTGCCTAGAGAGCATGTTTACGGTTTTTGGGGTCGATTTCATACAAAGCAGCACGTTTTCGGAGGGATGGATCGATCATACCATCGTGGTTAGGTAACATGTTTACGGTTTTTTGGGTGCCGGCAAATTTTGGGCTTTTTGGTACCCAAAATTTGCCAATTTCCCACATCCTCAAAAATGCGACTTTTTCTCCAGTCATGGGGAAAATTTGGCTAGAAGTTCCAAAAGTTCCGAGATGGAAGTTAGGAAGGCCGCACAGCGATAAAGTGGTGGAGAGGCCATGCAGATGCCAGCTCTTAGACTCACAAGTCCGAGCCACAGCCACTCCTCGGGGCTGGACCGTCCTGACCCGGGTCCAAAAGCCGACGTTGAGGGAAAGGCACAGCATCAGGTGGCTCCGGTGGGCGACATTCCGCGTCGCCATACCTTGCGCACTGGCTAGATCCAACCCAGTGAGCTACTGCAGAGTCCCGCAATAGCTAACAGAGTCAACGAGCCAATTTGAATGTGTAAAAAATGCCCCCAATGCACAGCCAAAAAATTTTTAATCTAAAAAACGACAAACCGTAAACGTAAACACTTTTTCTTTCGATATCCTGCGAACGGTTATCACGAACGTACTTCTCGTTCTCCCTCGTCTCTTCCTACAACGCCGACAGGGCGGCCAGAATACCTAGCCACAAGATAACAAGAAGACCGACTAGTATTCGTAGTTCTGCTACTTCTGTCCTGCGTCGTGAGCGCGCTGACGATTGCTGAGCCGCCGTGATGAAGAGAATGATGTGCCGCGGGCGCGTCACTACAGCCTGAGCTAGTACAACTCGCCCTCCCGCCTCCTGATGATCTGCACGTTTCTTACGTCGTCGTCGACCAGGCACGGTAAGAATGAATCTTCGAGACAACTACGCTGGCTCTGGCACCCAGGCGTCGCTGCAAGTGCAAAAACTGCAACAAGCGCGAGCGCATCACGAGGTGCGAGCGGCTGCAGCTGATCCCGCCCCGGCTGCTCGTCTGTGAAGCGCGTAGGAGGACGACGCGGCCGCTCGAGCTTCCGGCCGTTCGCGGCGTGCACGACGATCTCCGCCGCTGCTCCGGCTAAATACGGAGATGCAGCACTGCCACTGCGTTACAACTTCTGGGCAGAAATAATTGCAGCTGCGTCAATCTTCCTGTACAGTGGGAGGTACCAGTTGGCAGCAGCAGCTCTCGACGACAACATCGGTGGCCGCCGTGCTGCTTTTTATTTAGAGCGCCAGGTCCTGGTCGTTGACGTCGTATTTCGCGATGCACACCAGCGTGTCCCCCAGGTGCAGCAACTCGTCAAACACGTGCGGCGCGGCCATGATAAACCGCGGCTCGATGTCTTTGGTCAGTTCTTTGATGGCGCTGTCCTTCGGGGGCGGCGGCAGTTCGTTGGGGTTGAACTTCTATCCTGTGCAAAAGTATCGTAATATTCGTATAAATGCATTACAAATTTCCCTAGCATGAGAAATAAAATTTGTAATGCTGATTTACCTAATGCATCATCGCAATACGAGTACGAAGATGCTTTTGCAATGCATAACTTCTTCCGCTTCTCGGCCTTCTCGTGCTTGATCAGGCGCGCGATGCCCACCGGAATCAGGTTGTGGTGCCACATCAAGGACTCCATGAAGTTCATCAGAGGCATATTACAATGAAAAATGCCCCCACCCCCGAACTTGAAAGCATTTGTATTGCAAACCTTTCCAAATGAAACATTCGCCCTCTTGCATGTATCAGCATCACAGATTTCCGATCGTGAATACCAAAAATTTGCATTGCAAAAGATCCCAGCAAGAGCGGTGCTTGTCATGCAAGCGATGCAAAACACGACTAGACTCTGCATCAGAAAGATTCGTACTCCTTTCATGCATGACAAAAAGTTTTCATTTGGAAACTTCGCAACACAAATCTTTGCAACTTTGGGGGTAGGGGGCACTTTTCACTGTAATAAGGCATGCCCACCCAGTTCTGCGGCACGTCCACTGTGGCGCCCTTGCACATAATCATAGCCTGCACGAGGGAGACCAAACTTATCCAGGAAAAAACACCCAACTTCTACATCCCCATCCATTTTTTGCATGACAAACGCTGCTTTTAATGCATGTTAATGTTTTGCATTTGACAAAGTGGATAAGGAAGATGGGTGATCTTCTTTCGTGGATAAAACTCGTGTTGTACAGAATGTTGACCATCAGACTGGTGATCATACTCGAGCAAAACAACTTCCCGCAGCAGTATCTCGGCTGTCGCAGCAGGGCCGCCCGGTGGGCCGCCATGTCGGCCTCGTCGGACAAGTCTCCGCCGTCGTTTATCCTGAGCAAAAACGTTCCCGCCCCAGCGCCAAGATGGGAAATCCGCTAGAGGAATCAGCCACCTCTGGTTGTTTCGCATGACAAGTTGATCCTCATAGTGTAATCCTGTTTAGCTAGCTCCGAAGCATCACAGATCTAGCATATTGTCGTGCTGATTCTAGCATTACAACTTCAAAAACAGGAAAAGAAAATGGCTCTCATGGGGCTCCGCATCATCATCATCATCATCATCATGGGGCTCAGCATCTCATGGGGCTCCGCATCATCATCATCATGTAGTGGACACCCGCTCCCAGCGCCACAGGTCAAGGACCCCCTCCCCGGGGGGTGGGCGAGGAAGCACTTTCGGCGAGCTCATCATACAAAAGCCGAGCGCTACCACGGCAAGTCGCCCCATGAAAAGTACCAACCAGTCGGGAGCTACCCACCACACCTGATCAGTACAGCCCGGCCAGCTAGCCGAGCGCGACAGCCCAACATACAGAACGATCCAGGACCCGACCCATTTTACGCCTTACGTTTTTGTTCCCACGGAAGAGACGACGTACCCCTTTGGGTTAAGGGGCGAGACTCTCCCTTAAGCCGCAACCCCGCCCGGACAGGGGAGGCTGGACCGTTTGCGCCTTACCTGCGGCACGGGCGAACCGGGCAAGTGCACGGACCACAGACCACCGGGCAAGTGCCGCATGAGAAATTTTTTTGGCATGCAGATTTGCATGACAACTCTGGTGTGGGGACGTTTTTCCTCAGGATATCGTTCGCGTCGTCCTCCGACGTGATCTTGCCCTTGGATCTTAGCGGAACCAGGTAGTAGTTTTCGTCCACGAGCAATTCGAGAATGACGCTGGTGGTGCAGAGGGGCGGCAAACTTCCCTCGATCAACTTGCAACAGAAGATGCCGTCGCTGTCCACCATGTTCATGTTGTGCGGAGCTTTGTAGGTGTCCGCGACGAACTGGGCGCTGGTGCTGGCGGGTATGCAATACAAATTTCCCGTACATGTAAGTACAAGCTGCATCACAAATTTCGCCAATTTGGAGCGTACTAAAACTTGTCATGCTAAACTCGGATCGAGTTTAACTTTTGTCATGCAGAGACCGCATTTGTACGTGTACGGGAAATTTACTGTGGATAGCGGAGCTGGTGCGGTACATCTCGCGGTAATCCTCCGTCTGCTTGCTGAACACTTTGCTGCCCTTCGCACCCGCGCCCCGCCGCCGTTTTCTCCCCGCAGAGCCGGCGAGGATGACGATACAGGAGGTATGAAAGCCTCAGAATGGAAATCCTCAAAGTGGAAATAACTTGTGATGCATGAAATGCAAGGCAAAAAAGACTGTATTGCAAAGGAGACAATGGAGGCCGACTATTGTCCTGCTAGGGGTGAAGAATTGGGCTGCTGATTAGCACGACAGAAGGGCACCCCTTTGCCTAACTAACATTACAGGCACGTTTTGAGTGCCCGGGAAATTCGTCATGCGCCGACTACAAACGGCACTTCAACTGGAGTCGTTTTCTTGCATTACAAATTATTTCCACTTTGAGGATTTCCAACCTGAGGCTTTCATAGGAGGCGTGTTCGAAGTTCGCCCGCCGCAGGTCAAACATGTTCATATGGCGTTCCCAAGTGTTACATTCTCAACTGTTACGCGATTTGTAATGCAGAATCGCAATCAGAATCGACACGATCAAGCTGCTCCGCATGACAAATTCTCGAAGAGCCAAGCAGGCTGAGAATCTTTGCCAGATCTGTCATGCAAGACGCGCAAGGTGACCCCTTTCACTTTTGCTATTCTTGCATCACAAATCCATGTAACAGCTGAGAATGTAACAGTTGAGAACGCCATAGTTCATGGGGTTGCCGTGCAGCATGTAGATGCCCTTCGCTTCCAACACGCGGTACCAGTCCTGCGGAACGGCCTGGGAGAGAATGACGAGCGGAGCTTTGCTGTGGAGCCGCAGCGTGCGGATCGCGGGGTAGATCCGCACCTGGCACTTCATTGCGTTCCCAAGACAGCTATCAACTGCAAATATGTCTGGGTCTGGAAGAACGCAACTTGTCATGCAGATTTTCCATGACCCATGAGGTCTGGAATGCGGGACGTAGCATTACAAACTCTGCGAGGTCTCTGTCATGCCTATCCTGCATGAGAAATCCCCTCCCAACTTGGTCGAAAGTCAGCAGCCTTTTGCACTCATGCAACACAGATTTTAGCATGATTCAGCTTTAGCATCACAAGTTACTGTCTTCCAGACCCAGACATATTTGCAATGCATAACAGCAGATGATCAAGTGGCCGCCCGGGGCGAGCACCTCGTTCGGCGGCGGTTTCGGGTCGGAATGCGCAATGTGCATCTATCCTGTGCAAAAGTATCGTACTCGTACTAATTGCGTTTATGCATTACAAACAAGGTCCGAGCACGGGGACAGAGTCCCCGTGCGGCGACCTTCCGGCAATTGTCTGGGACGAGTTCGGGGGTTGTGGTGGCTGGCACTGGGCAGGCAGGCCCCTGCAGCCCGGTGTCTCTGTGTGGCCTGCGCCCCCTGATCCGCGGCAGATCTGCGGACGGAGCCCCTCTGCTTGCCCACACTAGGCCCGTTGGCCTACCGCGAACAAAGAGAACACAAAGGAAGAAGCTGGCGCCGGATGTGTAGCTGGCCCCTAGGTCATGACGCGGGGACCGCGTCCCCGCGCTGACCTAGGGCTTTCGCCCCTGGGCCGTGAGGTTGGTTTCCGGGAAGCGCCCAAAGCTGGCCCCTAGGTCATGACGCGGGGACCGAGTCCCCGCGCTGACCTAGGGCCTTTGCGCCTCGGCCGCGCGGTTAGTTTCCGGGAAACGCCCAAAGCTGGCCCCTAGGTCATGGCGCGGGGACCGAGTCCCCGCGCTGACCTAGGGCTTTTGTCCCTGGGTCGTGCGGTTACGTTAGTTCCCGGGAACGAAGCCCCCAAAACTGGCCCCTAGGTCATAACGCGGGGACCGAGTCCCCGCGCTGACCTAGGGCTTTTGCGCCTCGGCCATCCAGTTAGTTTCCGGGGAGCGCCCAAAGCTGGCCCCTAGGTCATGACGCGGGGACCGAGTCCCCACGCTGA